CGGCTCAAGGTTGACTCAGCCTTCCAACCTTCCGAGGTGGTTAAAATGAGGACCCAGATTGTTAGGGGAAATATGCTGACTCTGTAAACCTCTTAGAGAGGGCTATAAAGCACTGTGAAGCGGTATATAAATCTAAGTGCTATTGCTATTGCTATAATGGTTACAAGAGCCGTGGGTAGCCAAGGAAGTGAAATAAACAGAACAGCCTGTTATGTGGATAGAAACAACAGCTGTAAGAGATTGAGAGTGAGCGGGAGCTAAGCTGATTATCCTTGAGGCCAGCAATGGCATTCAAAACTCTGATCTGTCTCCTGCCTGAGAAATGACATTTGAGTAGGGCTTCTGCAACTGATTGTTTAAAACCGACATGCCCACAACATTTTAAGTTTTTGTGTCTCTTCCTGGCATTTTTGCTGCTCAGATTCGGTGTGGGAATCAACAAGGACATTTATTTTATTTTATTCATTTATTTTGTCCAGCATGTATTAGATAACATATATAAGTATAAACATGATTTTGGATACATGAAATGGATACAAATAAAAAGGAACATTAGGACGGTAGACACGTTGGTGTGCTTACGCACGTCCCCTGCAGACCTCTTAGGAATGGGGTGAGGTTAACAGTAGTCAGTCTAAGGTTAAAGTTTTGGGGGTTTGGGGCAGTGGTGGGTTGCTAACCGGTTTACTACCGGTTCGCTCATGCTCGCACGCACAACACTTCTGCGCATGCACTGAGAGGCTGGGCAGAGCCTCCTGGTTCAGCCAAACCATACCGAACCGTGAGCAACCACTTCTGGTTTGGGGAAGAAAACCACTGAATCAGATAGTGAATTCCAGGCATTGACCACTCTGTTGCTGAAATCGTATTTTCTGCAATCGAGTTTGGAATAGTTTATCTTACCTTTGTATCTATTGTGTGCTCATGTATTGTTGTGGTTGAAGCTGAAGTAGTCATTGATAGGTAGGACATTGTAGCGGATAATTTTATGTACTACGCTTAGGTCAGATCGAAGGCGGCTAGTTTTAAGTTGTCTAAGCCCAAAATTTCAAGTCTGATGGCATAAGGTAGTCAGTTGTTGTTATTGAACAATAACCTCATTAATAAAACTGAGTTGTACTAAGATGCTCGGCTTTTATGAGTATTTTTTTTAGAAGGAAATCCTTGATCACACTCACTTCCGAACAAGCGCGATCACCATAAGAAATGCATTTTAAATATATAACCTCCTTTCATCGCCTTCCTCAATCACCTGCCCTGCCAAAAGCCTCGTTAACGTGGCTTTATTCCTGTGTAAAAGGTATGGTGGGATTTAGAGACTCAGGATCAAGCTTCGTTTTCGCGCTTTTTATAGCAATGTTAAAAAAATTAAAATTTATATCTGTACACGGGAGATGGGAAGTGGCTAAATACTATGGATAAATCAAATAAAAATAAGAAAAAAAATGAACGCAGATTCCTGCGCAAGACTGATTTACAGCGCGTGATTACTGCTACAATTGAAATTCTTAAGTCAACCCAGAAGTAAAAACGCACCTACTACTCTTCTTTCTATCTCTATAGAGGCGGGGGGGGGGGGGGAGGCCTACCATAGAGACTCACCGCCCCGCCCTTCTTAAGTGGGCAGAACGGCAGCGACATAAAGGATCCCGGAACCGGTTACAATCGGCCGCGGGGCATTGTGGGTTGTCGGCGTTATTTGCAGGCGAGGAAGTGGGCGAAGCGACTGTTGTCGGGGTTCTCCCCCCGCCTCCCCCGAGTCCCGTTCCCCTCTAACGGCGAGCGCTCCCGATAGCGGCGGCTGCCGCATTCGGCCCGGCCATGTCCTTCAACAAAATCCCACCGCGGTGGCTGAACTGCCCCAGGCGTGGACAGCCCGTGGCAGGTAAGCTAGGGCGGGAGGACGGGGTGCCCGGCTTTGATAAGAGAGCCTGTTGCGTATCCCGCCATATGGTGCTTCAGCCACTTTTGCACATGTGGAGGCTGAGCAGCCTTTGGCCCAGGTCCTATGGAGGGTCCTGGCTCTGTTGGACCAGTGGGCTTATTAATACAGGTAGTCCTCGATTTACAACCACAATGGAGCTCAAGCTTTTGTTAAGCAAGATGCTTGTTAAATGAATGTTGCCCCATTTTACGACTGTTCTTGCCACAGCGGTAAAGTAAATCTCTGCAGTTGATAAATTGGTAATCCGGTTGTTAAGTGAATCTGGCTTCCCCCATTGACTTTGCTTATCAAAAGAGGACCTCGGGACTTGTGACACAGCAATGGTCATAAGTATGAACCAGTTGCCGAGCATCTAAAGTTTGATCACATAAACATGGGGATGCTACAAAGGTTGCAATTGTGAACAATGGTCATAAGTCACTTTTTTCAGTGCTGGTGTAACTTTGAATGGTCACTGAATGAACCATTGTAAGTTGAGGACTACTTGTACAGGAAAATCATTAATCAGGTGCTGAGACTGATTTTAGAAGTAGGGGGCAGAGAGAAGTTTCCTCTTCAGCCGTTTGGATAGTATTTCTATGAAAAGGAAGAGAAAATGCAGACCTTTCTCTTAACATTCTCACTCCAAAAGAAAGAAAAGAACCCTTTTTGTAATGTAGGAATACATTTAACTACTAATTCACTGAACCCACTTTAAGTAACAGAAACATAAATAACCCCCAAGCAGCCTGATAGCAAACCAGTGGATTACCAGTTTTGGACTAGGTATACCTGCCCAATTAAAGGCCTAGTTTAATTATCCTCCTAAATCAAAAGCTTGAGCCATACTGCCCAAATATCAGGAACAGCTTCTTGCTGTTCTTAGGAAAAAGGGAATGGAGTTTGGGAGAGATTATTGTGCTAGTTAATATAATCCTTTAAAGTAGAACATGACTGTGAAGTAGTCCAATAGAGCTTAAGTTAAGTAAGGAAAACTAACGTTAGGCCAGTTTCTTGGCAATTGAAAAAGCAAATATTTGCAGCCATAGTTTGTCTGAGAGAAATTGTTTCAGCCCAGGCACCTCTTGTTTTCTAAATTTATCACAGTTTATTGATTGTTGTTGTTATATATGAGGGTTGCTGACTAAAGGTTTTTTTTTAGAATGAGTCAGATTCCCCTAGGGAGAGATCAGAAGAACTTCTTAAGCGTTGCAGTGAGGACATATTCTAGATTTGTCATGCGTTGGAATCTGGCTGAGGTCAGATATTTGTTATCTGGGAAAAAATTGAGCCTGTGAATCTCAAGGAAGTGAGCAGGATTCTAACAGTTGTCAGTTCAGTAATCATTGGGGGAGACCTATGGTCTTGGATGATTAAGATTGTGGTTCAGCCCAGTGCTTTTTTGCATGAGGGGACAGTACCTCCTGCCTTGAAGAAGGCAATGATGCCTCCCTTCCTCAAGAAGCTATCACTGGATCCAATAGTATTGGATAATTTCTAATTAATCTTTAACCTTAGCTTTGGAGTATGATTGTGGGGAAGTGATGGGGTGCAGCTCTAAAGGGCCTTGGAGGAAAGCACATTATATAATCATCTTTCAGGTAAGGGTTAGACATGGTTATAGCACGGAAACAACATTGAGAGTGTATACTCTGTTGGAACAGGGATAGCAGTGGGGCAACTCCTGACTACGGCATTTTTGAGCTTTTAGTGGCTTTCAATACCATTATTTATGGTATTTAAAGAATACCATATTAGGCATTAGAGGCTAGGGAATGGAGATATTACATTGCAATGTTGTTCTTCCTTTCTCAATCTAAAACCAGTTCCAGTTGAGGTTGGTGGAGAGAGATTGAAATTGAGGTTCTTGCTTTGTGTGGTTATTCGGGTCTCAGTTTTCTTCTCACTCATGTTTAACATCTATGTGAGGCTGGTGGGTGAGGTTATCCAATGACATGGGTCGGAATCAATATTGCAGGTATGATGGTTCTGTATCTCAATCCCAGAGTGAGCAAGTGGTACTGTTGAGGTTCTGTCTTATGGCCTGTAAGATGTTAGTCTACTTGGGGAGAAAGAAGCTTAAACTGAATTGTAGGAAGACCAAGTAGCAGTGAATTCAAAAATCTATTATTTCTGGTGGTTTTCTAGCTCTAGATAGGGCATTTCCCTAGACCAGGGGTCAGCAAATTTTAACACACAAAAAACCATATAGGTCCTAATCAGAAGCCCCCTGTTCAATTCTGGAGCCAACCAGAAGTCCAGTTCTCCCACCATAGAGTCTCCTCCTAACGTAGCACCCTTTTTCCTCTACCTGTCTTAAATGAAAGGCCCATCAATTGTGGAGGTGACTGGAAAACCCACGTCTTGCCATAGAATCTCCTCCTGGTGTGCTGTGCTTCCCCCCACCAATTGGAAGCTTTTTAAAAAAATTGTGGTGCCGACTGGCGACGGAGCCACAGCAGAGGGATGAAAGAGCCACATGCGGATCCAGAGCCGCAGGTTGCTGACCCCTGCCCTAGACAAAATCAATACAGAATTTGAGGTCCTCGTGGATTCTCAGTTGATCAAAGAATAAATTGTAACCATAGCTGAGAGAACCGTTGCATAGATTTGCTTGTGCATCAGTTGCAGCCTTTTTTGGAGTAGAAAGCTCTTCTTATTGTCACTTATGTTTTTTCACTTCTTCTTTGTATTAGGGTAATGGATTTTATATGGGGTACTCTTGAAGACCACTTGAAAACTACAGCTCATCCAGATTGTGCTGGCATGAATAGTTTTCAGTGTATCTTAGTTCACACATATGATACCCCTTCTTTGTGAGCTGCACTAGCTTGATAACAATTGGCTTCCAATTGCAATTCAAGTTTCATCTGTAACGTCTTTTCAGGCTTGTGGACCAGACAACTACAGACCTATCAGCCTGACCTCAATACCAGGCAAGATTGTGGAAAAGATAATCAAGCAACGAATCAGCGAACACTTAGAAACAAACAAAGTAATAACCAGAAGCCAACACGGGGTTCGTCAAAAACAGATCATGCCAGACAAATGTTGTTGCATTATCTGACAAAGGGACAAATTAGTGAGCCAGAGGAATGCTGTTGATATAATTTATTTGGACTTCAGTAAGGCATTTGATAAAGTAGATCATAACCTACTACTTGATAAAGTAGAAGAATGTGGGTTGTACAGCATCACCACCAGATAGATTCGTAACTAGCTGACCAATCACACTCAATGTGTAGTCCTCAATGAAACCGCATCTACATGGAGGGAAGTATGCAGTGGAGTACCCCAAGGCTCTGTTTTAGGCCCAGTACTGTTTAACATCTTCGTCAATGATTTGGATGAGGGGATAGATGGGGAACTCATCAAATTTGCAGATGACACCAAGCTGGCAGGAATAGCCAACACTCCAGAAGATAGGCTTAAGAAGATAGAGAAGGTTATCGACAGACTTGAACATTGGGCTCTATGTAAAAAAATATATGAAATTCAATGGTGAAAAAAGTAAGGTTCTACATTTAGGCAAGGAAAAGGAAATGCACAGGTACAGTATATGTGGTACCTTGCTCAATAGTAGGAACTGTGAGAGGGATCTTGGAGTCCTAGTGGACAATCATTTAAATATGAGCCAGCTGTGTGCAGCACCTGCCAAAAAAGTCAACACAGTTCTAGGCTACATAAACAGAGGGATAGAATCAAGATCACTTGAAGTGTTAATACCACTTTATAATGCCTTGGTAAGGCCACACTTGGAATACTGCATTCAGTTCTGGTCGCCACGATGTAGAAAAGATGTGGACACTAGAAAGAGTGCAGAGAAGAGCAACAAAGATGATTAGGGGACTGGAGGCTAAAACATATAAAGAATGGCTGGTGGAATTGGATATGTCTAGTTTGATGAAAAGAAGGGCTAGGGGGGTGACATGATAGCAGTGTTCCAATATCTCAGGGGCTGCCACAAAGAAGAGAGGGTCAAGCTATTCTCCAAAGCACTTGAGGGCAGGACAAGAAGCAATGGGTGGAAACTAATCAAGGAGAGAAGCAAGGAGAAATTTCCTGACAGTGAGGACAATTAATTAGTGGAACGACTTGCCTCCAGAAGTTGTGAATGCTCCAACACTGGAAGATTTTAAGAAGAGATTGGATAACGATTTGTCTGAATTGTTATAGGGTTTCCTGCCTAAGCAGGGGGTTTGACTAGAATACCCCCAAGGTCCCTTCCAATTCCTTTATTGTTATTCTGTTACCATTTTGATGCTGTTATTCTATTCTAGGAACTCTTGTTTCCAATAATTTATATCAAACTTATAAAATCTGGATCCCTGGAGCTCAGTCAGAGTGGTGGTCTTGGTGGTTATCTCTCTTACAAAGGCCCTTCTCCCTCAATTGCTCAATTTGACTGGGGGATCAGCTTTTGGAAGAGTACTGGTTATGCCAAATGTCTTCCGTTTGAGGATTATGGAGACCACTGTGCTCTTAGGAACCTTCAGTGCTGCAGAAATTTTATTGTAGCCACCCCCAGATTTGTGCCTTGCAATAATGCTGTCTCTGAGCTTTGCAGGAAGTTCCTTTGACCTTATGGCAGTGGTATCAAACTCGGATGTGCCACGTGCTGACCACACCACTCCCATTTTAGTGGGAAAAAAATCAATACGTCACGTGGTGACAATGTGATGTCGTCAATTTGACACTCCTGCCTTATGGCTTTTGCCTCTGCTATAGTACCCATTGCCAGCTGTGAGCCCTTCTATAGAGAAATGTATGCCTTTCTAAATCATGTCCAATCAATTTAATTTACCACAGGTGGACTCCAATCAAGGGGTAGAAACATGGCAGCAATGATCAAGAGAAATGGGAGGCACCTGAGCTAAATTTCAAGTGTTCTTGCAAAGGGTCTGAATACTTACACCAATGTGATATTTCAGTTTTTTTTCTTTTTAATAACCTTACAGGCATTTCTAAAATTCCGTTTTCACTTTGTCATTTTGAGGTACTGAGTGTAAATAATTGAGGGGAAAAAATGAACTTCAACAACTGTAGAATCAGCCTGCAGCAAAATTGACAAAAGTGAAGGGGGGTCTGAATATTTTCTGACATGCACTGTACGTTGAATACTGGAGTAACTTTGATTATAATGAAGTAACACATCAAAACCCCAAAGCTATTGGTTAAAAACTAGTATTTAAAATGTATGCAGTTGGAGTGAACTGCAGCAGTAGAACAGTTGCAGAGTTATTATAATGATGTGGTTTGAATGTGGAAAGTCATAGTTTGGACTAACTAAAGCTAAATTTGTTTTCAGAGACACATGTTGAATGCTGTGTTGTAATCAAGTTGAGACATTATGCTACCTTGTTGACAATGAAGCACTTTATTTTCCATGGCTATCATCTGATAATTCAGTAGCTAGGCCAGATCCAAGAGTTTCTTTGTATTCTTTTATCTCAGAAGCAGCTAATATTATTTGCATGGTTTTTTTTTTGTCCCTGAGCAACTCCATGTTATCTGGATTGAATTTTGGTCTATTCATCCTCATATAATTTATTTTAAATATATATGAGTTTAGGTATTAATATGATATGGCTAATAGGTTTCATTAAACAACGCAGTTTCTCTAGAAAGGCTTTCAGAGTATTCTAAATGAATGGGAAATTATTTAATAAAGCTTTTCAAGTACTGGATTTTACAGTTCAGCATTTAATTTTGTTATAAATGATATTAACTTCTGTCATAAACTGCTATAGTTCTTTGTCCTAATGAAGAATGTTAACCATGATTCAAACAAAAAAACCCACAAAGACATTTGTATGAGGTTTCATGTTATTACATGCATTTTTTAAAAATTATTGCCAAACAGGAATATTTTTACCTCTGAAGACAATGCTAGGACCAAAATATGATGATAAAGTTGCTGAAGAGTTTCGTTTCCATCCCTCTATGTTATCCAACTATTTAAAGAGTCTCAAGGTAAAGAATATAATTGAATTTTTCTTTGCTATCTAAATAATAAAGGTTTTTTTACTACTTTATTAATATATTATTTTCTTGAGTATACTAGCTTTAGAAATATTTTACCAATATATTTATTTTGGTTGGAATACATGTCTGTATCTATGCATGTCTTTGTCATCTATCTATCTATCTATCTATCTATCTATCTATCTATCTATCTATCTATCTATCTATCTATCATCTAATTAATTTATATGCCGCCCATCTCACTATCAAGTGATTCTGAGTGGCTCACAATGTTATATATAATAAAAGGAAACAACTTAATACATCAAAAGATTAAAACATTGGACAACAAAGTTAAAATGTTTAAGTGAACAACAAAGTGAATAAATACAATGCTTAATTTCCGCGGACAGAACTGTATCTAGGAGAATTCAGAGAACATAATTTTTCTGTCCTACTACTAATTTCTGTATACCTCTCCTCAAAATTGGTTTCAGAGAATTTTAACACTGAAGCAGGAGGGGAAACCAAACTTTTTGGTTTTGGCAATGGGAGTGAAGCATTGGGCACTCCATCCTTTCTCTTGTAAATTCTGCATTTGAGGCTTTCAATGATCGGATATACAGTTGGGGTATACACAGCCATGTTATTTCCATGGTGCATGTATAACATCAAAAAAGTTACTTCTGAATATTGACTATTAAGAGTTACGCATGTTTATCGTAAACTGGTTATCACATCTAAAGCAGTTTATGGCACAGGGGCAGCTTATTTGCAGGGCCTCTTTTCCCTAACGATATCTACTCGTCCTCCCAAATCAGATAAGGTAGGTATGCTCCTAGTCCCTTAATGAGGGCTAGTGTTGACCAGGAATATAGTATTTTTATTGACACTTCTGAGGAAGCATATGTGACAATGTCCTTAAAGTCCATGGAAGGTTCCTCGGGAAACACTCAATGTCCCTAGGAGAACATCCAATGTCCTTGGAAGACTTCCAAGGGTGGCAGATGACTATTTCCGTGCCAACTTGTCTGGATGGAGTGTCCCAGTGCTCCTTTGTGGAGAAGTGGACAATGTTACAAGCATGTAAATATGAATGTCAAAATGCATTCAAGGTTCCCTCTTGCTAGGGGCCCCTGTTTTTATTCAGCTGAATAAACATGTAAAAAGCTTATCAAGGTAAACACCTGGACTCTCTTTCTTTATATCAAGCCACACCTGAAACCAGCAAAACACTTAAGAAGTATGTCTTTTCTATGGCAACCCCTGCCCTATGGAACCCTCTGCCCCATGAAGCTTCTACTCTCCTAGCCTTCCAAAAACTGCCAAAGACCTTGCTTTTCTCCCAGGCACTGGGATAAGATTGGATAATTTCACATTAGGAATTGACTTAGCACCAGGTCTTTGTTGTTTTTAATGTTTTTATCTGTTTAATCTTATAGTGTTAATATGATTTTATATGATGTTCTAACTTTTACTTGAGAGCTGCTGAGAGTTGGTTAGAAGATGAACAAGCTAGACACATCTAAAGTTAAGTTCACCATGGGTGTAACTTCACATATCCGTATTAAACTCTAATTTTATTACTTTCAGGTTAAAATGGGTCTGTTAATAGACTTGACAAACACCAGTAGGTTCTATGACAGAAGTGAAGTAGAAAAAGATGGCATTACATATGTAAAGCTTCAATGTAAAGGGTAAGCTAATGAGACTCCTGAATATTGTTTTATGGAGGAAAATTCTTGCCTTTACTTGATTCTTCTCGTCTTGGTAGGCATGGAGAGTGTCCCACGCCTGAAAACACAGAAACATTCATTCGTATATGTGAACAGTTTCGTAATAAGAATCCAACAGAACTTATAGGTATGTATATTAACCTGCTGTGTGACTATTTTCCATCTGTCTTGGTTGTTTTAACACTCCATTTGCCACATTCCATTATAGTTGCACATAAACATTTAACGACTTAATAATCCAGCCAGCATCGAATCATGACAGCAAGCAATAGAACAAAAAACAAACAAACCCCAAAATAGGATGAAATACCAGAATGTTGTAAATATAAATTCCTGAGAGTGTTTGTAAAAAGGGGCAAGCCTAAATGACTGTCATGAACTGTATTTAGTTTTCCATTTATCTAGATAAATCATACAGTATATTGCTATCGCCCATGTCTTGCTGAATAGGGAAGCATCAAGATGAAATCAAAGTTGAAATCCAAATAATTGAATCAGAAAGTTAAGTCATAGAGGTGATCATGTTGTCTAGAAGCAGTTAGGACAACAGGTATAGAGGAACCATGTGTGAAGGTGGTGGTGATGGAGGGAAGTATTAGAAAGAGGCACTGTCTCCACCCTGACCCTTGGAAGAAGAAGCGGGAGGGAAGGGAAAATTCAAGTAAACTTGCTAGATTCTGTTACTGTAACCTATCTTAATAAAGTGTAGTTCTAGTTGTCCTATAGAATCAGTTTCTTCATCTGTCTGTCTCCTAGGGCTGACACACACACACACACACACACACACACACACACACACACACACCACACATCAACTTTGTTGCAGATCTTTTTTATCACTTGATTATACTGGACATGTACAAGAACTAAAGTTAACAGAGATGTGTAATGGTTTGGAATAAATGTTATGGAAATGCCTCTTTGGATTGCACACTCTTTTCTAATATTAATTTCCTTCTTTAACTTACAATGATAATTACAGTGCAATGCCTAATGCTGATTGACATTGCTAAGCAGTGTGGTCCCATGGTTTTTTTCTACTTACAACCACGTTACTTAACAGAGTTTCCGGTCCCAATTAGCATTGTTAAACAAGAACTGTATGCCTTTTTAGTTACGAATCACACAATTTCTTTACATGGTTATGTACAAGTGACTAGCTTGAAGAGAGGCCAAAATGATTGTATCAGTTGCCTATTAAATTCTTAATATAATTACCCATACACAATAAATATTCTTAATATTTGAACATGCTATTTAATGCACTTTAATCTGCATTCCAATTTCGAATGTAAAGTCTTGACTGGACATGTTAACTATTTTAAGGAAACTGTTTTTCATACATATCAACAATGGTATGTATGTATATCTCGCCTTTATTTTTTATAAGTAACTCAAGGCAGTGAACATACCAAGTACTGCTTCCTTCTCCTATTCTCCCTGCAATAACAATCCTGTGAGGTAGGGCTGTAAAAGCATGACTGGCCCACAGCTACCCAGTTGGCTTTCATGTCTAAGGTGGGATTAGAATTCACTGTCTCCCATTTTTTTAGCTTGGTACCTTAACCACTAGACCAGGCTCTCTACAAATATATCATATTATATCTTTGCTTGTGTGTAAATTAAGATTCAAAATAAATATATGTATATGAGTACAAAATCATTCATTTTTACTTTTTTTATACAGCTTTATTAGTCCCTATTATTAGCTGAAACACAAGCAGCAGAAATAAAGGATTTTTTTTAAATCTGTGAAAGCAGCAAGGTTAAGGGAAAGTGCTACTCAGTTACCCTTTTGATTGCCTTCATTTGAATTGTTAAATGTATTTGTCAGATTCCAAACTGACTACATTTGAATATAAATAAACTATTTTCTTTCAATTGAAAAGAAAATGTACTCTTTCTATTTTATCAGGCAAAATCTAGGTTAAACTTTATATTGATTTTTTAATTTAGTCTTCTGTGTGTATTGCTTTATAGTTAGCGGTTCTGACACCCCCTCCGGCCTGTGAGTAACACAGACACAGGCTTGGCTATTTGCCACTCTTTAATCACAGGAATTACAACTCCGTTGGCTGAAAGCCCAAACAACACTCTCATGCAAGAAGGGTTGGCAGCAACCCAAACCAAACAGAATGGAAATACAAAACAGACCAGACAAGAGTTCCTCAAGACTGTTACAAACGGTTGTGTCGTGCAAAAGGAACTCTCCCAAGTTCTCACTTATATATTCTCTTGGGAGGGGCCAAGCCATAACCACCTGGGCTTGATTATCTCTTATGAGTCTGCTTCCACAGTTGCTGCTTCCGTTTCTCTGCCCTTCTCTGTCTGGCGTCAGGGACAAACTGCCTTTGATCTTCCCCACTACTCCATGCCTCAGGTGCCTCCTGGTGGCCAACCAGCCTCTCTGGTCCCTGCTCTGAGTCTGAACCCTGCCCAGAGTCCTCCACATCTTCCATAGCAGACTCATAGGATTCCTCGCTATCCGACTCCATCAGCAGCTCAAACAGATCCTGCTGGGCCACAACACTTAGCATATGCATTGTATTAAAATAACTAATGAATACCAATAAAATTTGACAAAGTAGCCTCAATTGTCTGTGAATGATTCAAGCTCTTGTAATGGTAGTCAAAAAGAAAAATAGCACTATAATTAAATGTAAAGAAGACTAAGCTAATGAAAAGTCCAGCAACCACTGCTAGAATATAAGATACTGAAATGATGGATAGTTTCTGATTTTTAGGATTGACTAGCAATGTGAAGGAACAAGAAATCAAGAAGTACGCTTTTGACTAGCATTTAGTGTGGGGTAGCACTAAAAGCCTTGGAAAATGTATATGGATACCCTCTATACTAACAAAGATTGGCATCAGGCAAACAACAGTTCTCATTGTGGAAGTAAAAGATGAAGAAACCAGATACCATGAGATCCTTTGAACTTTATTGTTAGTGAAGACTCTCGAAAATAGCATTCATAATCTAAGAAACAAATGGAACAGATCTCAGGACAGTCCAGAGCTCTCACCCAAAGGACCAAAATGTGGACCTATTATGTGAAGGCCTAGTTCTCTGGGAAAGGGGGAAAGAAAGAAGATGACCAACAGCAAGGCAGATGGATTCAATTACTGGGTGCACATTGAAAGACCTGCAGGGCCAGATTGGGAACAGGTCATCCTGAAGCAGACCTATCTAGTTGCTAAAACTGAACCCCAACTTCAAGACACATAATCAAATTGAATTGAGCTAATTTACACAGATATAGGAGATTCATAATTGATGAAAAGTCTTAAATTATTCCAATATTGAAACATAATGAAATCCATGAAAGGCGGCGCGCCTGAACACTCTTATTTGCTGTAATGAGTTTCTGTCCATAATAATTGCAACAGATATTTAATGACTTTCACTCCAACAGCCTCATTTGAATTTTAAAACACGTTAATGGGATACTTCTATGTAATTTTTAAGAATTGCTTTTTTTTTCTTGGCCACTAGATGGAGACATTATCACAGAAATAAGGCAGAGGTGGTTTTGGATCTTTTTTTTTTTTAGTGCTCTTGGTTCATTGTTTTAATTGAATGCAGCCTTTAGAATTTTCTTATAACAGTTGCTGATTGCTGATGCGTAGATCCTCATGAGAAAGAAAATGGCGGTGGTAGCGGTGGATGAGAACCAGAAAGTACAGGATAGATTAGAAAGGACAGTTAAGCAGGGTGTGGAAAGGTTTCGGACTCACGCTCTGATGATGTTCAAAGAAATACCTCGATATGTATTTGATTTTACATGAGTGCATTTTCCACCTTTTCTGGTTTTGGTTGCTAAATTTGTTCAGTGTCTCCATGTTCAATCAGACATTTAAAGCCATTGATAATAGTTATTTACATGCAGGGTTTTGGGATGAATGGAATATTATGTGACTTTGTCAGAAATTTGTTTAGAGAAGTATATACATTCATTCAAAGAAATATGACAACTCATTAAGTGTACTATATTGTATTGAAAAAGCTGACTATCGTCCTGGCTTTCCCTCTTAAATGTGTATTATGCAAAATATGCTGAAGATCCCCCCCCCCAATTCTGATAGGAACATTCTTAAGATGTATCCAGAAACCTCCAGAATATTTTTTTTTCTTCATGTGTCAGTAGCTATTGATATTTGCTGACACTTTAGATCTAAAGAATGATGTTTAAGAAATGGTTGGAAAAATGCCTTCCATGTTCACAGGTTGCTCTCATGCCCTCAATCCCTAGTTTTGTTTTGAATGTGCAAAGCAAAGAACTGAAGTGTTTGCTTATTCAAGGAACCGTTTATGTGGTCGCCCCTGTTCATGCTCCAATTTCCTCTTGCGGAGAAGAATTAAATGGTATGAGAAGAGAATGAATTATCACATGGTAGCTGAGGACTAATTCCCTTGTAAGAGGAGTGATTATGACAAGGAAATGTTCCTGATGCTTTTACATGAGCTTGGTAATTGCAATTATATTTTTTTTCTTCAATTTTGTCTTCTAGGTGTTCATTGTACGCATGGTTTCAACCGTACTGGATTTCTTATCTGTGCCTTTCTGGTTGGAAAGTTGGATTGGAGGTAATTTTTTATAAAAAAGATAATACTTTTTGGTGATATTATAACAACAATAACAAAGTTACATTATTGTACATGTCATCAACATAATTAATTATGGATAATTTTTGCTACCTCTTGCTAGTGGGGTATACAAATTAAAGTGGCTATAAAACATAATAAAAGTAAGGAGACCCCTGTGGATTTTACTCTGCTAGTCATTGCTGACTATAGGGGGCATTCAAGGAAAAAATGTAATAGAATCATTTTGCTTTCTTCTCATAATTTGAATTTTGGCCCAATCTTAACATATCCTGCAGATGTTAGAAATAATCTTTTGTAACCGCTCTCCCCCCCCCCCCCCCCGGGGAGGCGAAATCCAGCAGGTTCTGACAGGTTCTGGAGAACCGGTAGCAGAAATTTTGAGTACTTTGGAGAACCGGCAAATATCACCTCTGGCTGGCCCCAGAGTGGGGTGGGAATGGAGATTTTGCAATGTTCTCCCCCTGCCACGCTCACCAGGCCACACCACATCCACCAAGAGACATCCACAGAACCGGTAGTAAAAAAAAATGAATTTCACCACTGCCCCTCCACCCCCCCAGCATAAGGTTAAAAGAAAGTAAAACAAAGAAGAACACATTTAAACAATTCTCAGCCTACAACGATATTAAGAGAAATGTAAACATTTTGCATAGCTATGAAAAGTATTCAAGAGCCAGTTGGATGTAGTGGTGAATGCATCAGGCTAGGAATTGGGAGATCTAGAGTTCTAGTCCTTCCCCAGGAACAAAGCCAGCTGCCTGAACTTCCTTTTGAAAGGAGTGCATTGCAATGTGTGGGGTGAGTAAGAAGTACTTTTTCTTTGAATCATTAAATCAGCCAGATCTTTTTCTGGGCTTGTGCAGCTGCTGCTTGTGGCATATTAAATATTAATGTGTTTTATTTTGGCATAATGGACTGGAGGATATTCCATCAGAAATTTGAAGTATAATGCTAAATTGGCAGGCATATAATAGGAGGGGAAGGAAGGGTGAAAATTGACATTACATGAGAAAGAAGGGGGACTGTTTTTAGCAGTGGCTGCATGACAGCTTGTAGAAAAAAGCAAGGCCAGTTATGCATGTGCATATGCTTTCATAACTGCATCATTAGCATGATAAAAGATGTGGCTGCTTTAAAGATGCAAAGAGAGAGATGCTTATTATGCCCTCATGCTTGAAAATAACCTCTTCTAAAGAATAGCTGACATTAACAGCCCCTCTGCTGAGCAAATTGGTTATTCCAGGGTGACCAGTTTTTTGTAAAAAGGGTAATCTTATACATACCCTGGGATAAATCTATTTTATTCAAGTGCCAAACATAATCTGTGCTCTATATGTGATATATCGAAAGGTGAAATATTTAAAAATACTGCATTTGCATCTTTAAAAAAAAATAGTCTTGAGATGGTGGTATGTGGTATTAGCAGTGTGGCTTGGGTACACAGTTGTATATGCTTAAATAGTTTCAATTGTCCTGGATACGATGTAAAATTTCAAGATTGTTGAGATATGTTTTTACATTTTATTCAGATAATTTGAAGACTATATGCTGGAAAAGTTAGGATTTTAGGAATACTGTTTCTTTGTCATGCTGAGATGAATTGGAAGGCAATAGCAATAGCAATAGCAGTAGACTTATATACCGCTTCATAGGCCTTTCAGGCCTCTCTAAGCGGTTTACAGAGAGTCAGCATATTGCCCCCAACAATCTGGGTCCTCATTTTACCCACCTCGGAAGGATGGAAGGCTGAGTCAACCCTGAGCCGGTGAGATTTGAACCGCTGACCTGCTGATCTAGCAGTAGCCTGCAGTGCTGCTTTTTAACCACTGCGCCACCTTGGCTCTAGATGAATTGGAAGGTTCTTGAAGAACCTATATTGCTTCTCTCCAATAATTAAATGTTGAATGCTGTATGCCAGCAGCAACTATATTTTATGTTCTTAAATTTTTCACACTTCAGTGGTGTGTCTAGACACATATTAATAACATTTTACAGTAGCTCTGTAATAGTTGCACTTTGTATTTAATTACATTCTCTCTCTTTTTTTGGCATTCTCAAGGCATGCCATTTGTCAAAAAAAAAAAGAGTCATTGCTTAGTGCTGAAGATGCTCATCATCTTTACTTTGGAATCACAGTTAAGGGAGAGGTATCCTGTCTTTAGCAGAAAATGAGGAAGTGACATCCTGCCCCACTGTTTTATGAAGCTCTTCAGTAGGCATAATTTTTGTGTGTTGGGGGTTCAATGCAGATCACCAGGTTTCATTTTTTTTTGTATGTATTTGAGTATTTTTTGAGTATTTCATTAAATTTATATGCCGCCCTTTTCCCTGGGTGGACTCAGGGCGGCTCACAACTCAAGAGGGGAGGGGGGAAAAACAAACTTTAGACATATAGAACGATACAAATTTAAAAAACACAACATTCATACCATTCGGGCGGGTTACAATCTTAGTCCCAGGCCTGACGGGATAGCCAGGTTTTGAGGGCTATGCGGAAGGTCTGGAGGGTGGTGAGGGTACGAATCTCCACGGGGAGATCGTTCCATAGGGTCGGAGCTGCCACCGAGAAGGCTCTCCTCCGCGTGGTTGCCAGTCGGCATTGACCGGCAGATGGAACTCGGAGGAGGCCTAATCGGTGAGATCTAATATATATGTATATCTTTTATGGTACTAAATCCTCCCTGCCCAATATTCTGTTATGATTTCAAGTGTTTAAATGTGTCCTGTGGCTTTGCTTTGGTATATTTGGAATATTTCAATGGATTTTATGCTTACTATATCTAGAATTAAAGTTTTCTAGTTTTATCATTTAGCTATCAATGTGCCTTTTATCCCACTAAGGGGAGGAGATTCTCCTGATCAGAAAACTGTTTTATTGTGCTGTTGTTAATACATTTTACTTGCATTATTTATACACTGCCAGATATTAATTTTATGTTCCTAAAGCTCTCCAGAATATAACCTGAAAACACCAAATACAATTATTTTGTATCTACTGTAGATAAGTATATTGGTTGGAACCATTTTGAATTAGCATACAAGATACAGTAACTAAATGAATTAATTATTGTAAAATAATTGTAAATATTGTAAAATTTTATTGTAGTTCTTATTTTTTTCTGCTCACCTTTGCAAGGCAGCAGTGCTGACAATCTAGCAGATTTAAAGTATTTTCTAAAAATGGTGGAAAGGATGGAATTTAGAGGAGAATTTCTGAATTTGTGAATGTAGAAGAAATACAGATGCAACATACTAATACGGATTTTATAGCTTTTTAAAGAAAACGTGCATCGTACTAATAATTGTTTGGGGAGCTTTGTTGTATTTTCATTTTTAGCAACTACTTGGCTTTTTTTCCAAAGCAATTGTATTCCAAGAAAATGCAAGGCTGTTTCTTTTGTAATTAAAACGTAGTATATATTGGCAATTACTTTTATAATTTTGGTCCCTTATTTCCACCAAAAGTATACTATATTAAAAAAAAAACCTACTAAAGTATGTTGAGACTGAAACCCATGCAAATTTCCTAATATATTTTGGTTTCTCTTGACAATTTCATATTTTCTTGACACATTACAAAAGATCCATTACTGTTTCAGGATATGTTGAGAACCCAAGATTTTAGTAATTAGTAGTTAGGAATTATGCTTATTTATTTTAAAATATTTAGAATTTTAAAAATATTTCCCCTGTTTTTAGGCAAGTATGCTAGCAAAGTGACTTGCCTAGATAGTCTTATACTTGGCTTTATCTAGATAAAAAATAGGGAAAAAGAGTTGTGAAGGAGTATAGAAAAAAAGAAGCTTGTGTTTACCATTAAGAGTAAAGTGAGCTGAGCTTAACTCCTGGTAAACTCCTGGAGTTTTCTTGAGCAGTGGTACAGAAGTGGTTTGCCATAACCTTCTTCCCAGATTTTTCTTTTTGCGTTTACTTTCCAGTTTAGTCAACAAGCCTACGGATTTCTTGGTTCCTATCTGAACACAAACCTGGTTTATTTGTGCTTAGTTTTTCATGATCAGCCAAGGTTAGCCACCTACGTGGTTCTTTAAATGTTATGGTCATCTGTTTTTTTTCCTGCTGATGAACCTTCAAGGGAGGGTCAAAGCGAGCTACTTCTTGACAGAAGAAACAATCATTTTGTTTCTGTTGTTCTGCATGGCCAGTGATAATTCATGATCTCTGCTTATCATTGAATTCGTAGGTGATCTCAGTGAAATTCTTGTATGCCTTAACTTTCTGTGGTTTGGGAGAAGTTTTGAAATACAGTTTTTTTGTATTGTACGGACGTACTGTAAATTCTTTGTGCCACAAACCTCTGAGTTTCTGGTGAAATGTATGGACCCTTTCTCAATAAAATGTATTTAAACGCATAAAATTAAATGCATGGATATATATTGTATTGCAGGTAATCCTTGGGTTATATGACCATTCATTTACTGATTGTTTGAAGTTACAATAGCACTATAGAATGGTACTTATCACCGGTTCTTGGAGTTCCAGCTGTTGCAGTATTCTTGTAGTCACATGGTTATGATCTGGTTGTTTGACGCCAGCTCATGATTACAACATTAAGAAGCTGCAGTCATGTGATCACAATTTCCATTGTTTCTTGCTGGCTTCCCACAAGCAAAGTCAGTGGGGGGACTGGCAGGAGGTCAGAAGTTGTGATCAGATGTGGTCTTCACTTAATATCCCCTGCAGTCCTTAATTATGATGACAACCAAAATTGCTGGTAGTAAGTTATATGGTCACAGGATGTTGCATTTTAGGATCATACTGCTCAGTGACAGAAATTCTGGTCCCAATTTTTATCATCACTCAAAGACTACCTATATAAAAGAAATGAATTGTAATTATGGTTTATCATGCTGTCAACCAGATGTTTAGACTGGATTTGGCATTTTCATCCACACTGAATCCTTCCCAAAAACCTGGGATAGGCAGATTTTAATTTGATAGCATTAAAGGTTTCATTGTAGATGTAAGCTGTTCCAAGTAAAGCTGCCTTTTGCAATTATTATTATACAATTGTATCACAGCGGCCAGTTGTTTCGCCGGATTTGGCATTGGTTACTAGTCGGGCCCCACCCAGGGGCCTAGGACGTCGTAACGTATTTTCGCAATATGCGTGCAGATCCAAGCAGTGCGGCTTTTTGCATTTGACTGATGGTGATTTTGTCAATTTTTAACTGTTTTAAATGTAATTCCAGTGCTTTTGGAATAGCACCCAGTGTGCCAATTACCACTGGAATTACCACTGCTGGTTTGTGCCATAGTCGTTGAATTTCGATTTTTAAGTCCTGGTATCTTGCGATTTTTTCATGTTCCTTCTCGGCGACCCTGCTATCACCTGGTATTGCGATGTCTATGATTGTGACCTTATTTTTCTCAACCAGTGTGATGTCTGGTGTATTATGCGCCAGTATTTTGTCGGTTTGTATACGGAAATCCCACAAGATCTTGACCATCTGATTTTCTGTGACTTTTTCAGGCTGATGTTCCCACCAGTTTGTTGCTGTTTTAATATTATAATTTTTGCACAAATTCCAATGGATCATTTGTGCTACTGAATTGTGCCGCAATTTATAATCAGTCTGCGCGATTTTTTTACAGCAGCTGAGTATGTGATCAACAGTTTCGTCAGCTTCTTTGCAAAGTCTGCATTTGGCATCATCAGAGGATTTTTCGATTTTGGCCTTAATGGCATTTGTGCGGATAGCTTGTTCTTGCGCAGCCAGGATTAGTGACTCTGTTTCTTTCTTTAATGTACCTGTTTTTAACCATAACCAAGTTTGTTCCCTGTCCACTTTATCTTTTATTTTTTCCAGAAATTGACCATGCAGTGCTTTGTTCTGCCAACTCTCCATTCTTGATTTTATCACATCTTTTCTGTATTCTTGTTTTGTCTGTTGGGCCTTCAGTAGATTTTTGTTCTTTACTTCGATTAATAGATGTTCTTGACTTTCTTTTAAATAATCAGCCAGTGCATGTTTTTCTTCTTCAACTGTTTGCTTCACTTGTAATAATCCTCTGCCACCTGATTTTCGGGGCAGATATAGTCTATCAGTATCACCACGTGGATGTAAACTGTAGTGCATTGTCATTAGTTTCCTGGTTTTTCGGTCCAAAAGGTCCAAATCAGCTTGTGTCCAGTTAACTATACCAGCTGTGTATCTTATAACTGGTATTGCCCGCAATTATTATTATTATTACTATTATTATTATTATCATTACTATTATTATTATACAATTGTATCACAGCGGCCAGTTGTTTCGCCGGATTTGGCATTGGTTACTAGTCGGGCCTCACCCAGGGGCCTAGGACGTCGTAACGTATTTTCGTAATATGCGTGCAGATCCAAGCAGTGTGGCTTTTTGCATTTGACTGATGGTGATTTTGTCAATTTTTAACTGTTTTTTAATTTTTAATAATTTTTATTATTATTATTATTATTATTATTACTACTACTACTACTATTATTATTATTTCCTGATTGTTTTTTTTAATCTTGGTTATTTCTTGTAAGCTGCTCAGAGTCCCATTGTTAATTAATCAATTAAATATATATGCTGCTCAATTCTTAGCAATTCCAATTTACAAATTATTTAGTTTTGTATTGTTCAAGTTGGGTAGCCAAGCAATTAAATAAATACAATTCAAATGTAGATATCAAAGTATTACAACAATAACAAAAATGTGCTTTAGTAATATTGTGTGCTTCTTTTTACTCCATTAAATCAATAGCAAGGGCACCCACTTATAAACAATCATTTTAGACACCTACACCTTATTGAAGTTAAGAAACACTTTTGGGAGTCTGCAGCCCATAAATTGGTTTGTTGTCTGTATATATTATTGAATGAAAAGCTAAGTTTTAGTTAAAGGTTAGTCAAAATACAATAGTATTTTTTTGTTATCCAGGTTCATGGATCCCATGACACCTATTCATGGCCCTCAGGGAAGCCTCAGTTAAGAACCCTCTCAATATAGCCTTAGCACTGTAATAAGAACTGCTGTGAGATTTTATGGGAGCTAGTTGGGAATATTTTATGTTGACTCTTGGATCTGCTACTGCTCTGTCCTCTTGCCTTTCGGGAGCTGTTTCTGAATTTTTCTTTTCACGCCTACATTCTCTTACACAATGTCACTTTTTTTTGCAGCATTGAAGCTTCTGTGGCTACGTTTGCTCAAGCCAGACCACCTGGTATCTATAAAGGTGACTATTTGAAAGAACTCTTCCGCCGTTATGGTGATGTGGCTGATGCGCCAGCACCACCTTCTTTACCAGAATGGTGCTTTGAGGAAGATGAGGAAGATGGGGAGGAAGATAACTGCAAACTGGGAACTCCAGAATCAGAAGCTTGCTCATCAACTTCCTTTTCTGGCAGAAGGAAAAAAGAACACTTAAAGCTGGTAATGGTGAACTAGAGCATAATATGGCATGTTCTTGTTTTGTGACTCGTTTTAAATACGTTATTGCAATTACTTTTTTTAATATATGTGCCTTCAAGTCAGTATTGATTCCTGGCAACTGCCTGGACTAGTTCCTGCGGTTTTCTCGGTATAATTGTTAAGGCACCAGGTTGGAAACCAAAACACTGAATTCTAGTACTGCTTTAGATATTAAGTCATCTGTATAATCTTGAGCCAGTCATTCTTTCTTGACCCTAGAAAGCCAGTTATGAAAATGTTGTCAATGTTAATAGAGCATTCTAAATTTAAGCTATTTAGAACCTGATAAATTACCCACACTTTCATAACCTTAGGATTCTGATTTCCCCATTGTACGTTCGGTACTGAAACCATAGAGTTTCTGCTGAAATATAGAGTTAAAAGAAGAAGTACCTCTCCTTTACAGAGTGCTGGTAGAATACAGATAATGCAATTAACATACAAGATCGTTATGTTGTTTAAGGTACCAAATTTGTATTAACTGCACATTCTCGTAATCTAGCATTCATTTCATGCTTGGTAGACCCAATACGGGAGATAGATGGAATCTTATTTTGATGGAAGAAAAAAAAGTTAAAGTTTTGAGCCCTTTGGTTTTCAGCTCTAATAGTTTTAGAGTGGAGTATTTTTCTGATAGTGTTAGATAAGAAATCCCTGATCGGTAAGACACTTGAAGCTGCATACTAAATTTGGGGTCCAGGATTGGAAGGCATCTAGTGAAATATTAATTTAGTTAATAAAATATACTGCCAAACTCCAAACAACTCTGGGTAGCTTCCAGTAAAGTACCATAATATGAAAAGAAAACGATCAGACACATCCAGAAGAAAAAAAACACAATATACCAAAGAAAAAGGACTTAACAAGTCTACCCCCAGGTCTGGAAAAGCAGCCAAATTCTCAGAGAAATATAACAATATTTCAAAACTTAGGATGTTATAAATAACTGTTTTGATTGTTTATTGTCCTTTGCTTCCCATATTCAATGTGGTTTTTTTTTTCCTTTTCACTTTCTTTATCAGCCATAAATACTTCTATATTAAAAGTTATAATAGATAAATAAAAGGCTTGCACCCATGTTAAATTAATACAAATTTTGATTACATTTATAATTCTGCTGCTACTGTTATTTAATATTGCACAATTAAAAACCAATGGTTTTAGTTACAGACATAATGCTTTTGCATTTTGTTAAAAAGAAGGAATACAGCAACTGATAAAGAATTCTGAATGATAATGGAAAAATGGTTTTTTTTAAAAATGAAGAATTAATTTTTCTTAAAAGAATTAAGAATAACGTAATAATATTAAGTCATAATTGGCATTCTAATGGCTTTTATGTGATTTATTTTTGAAAGAGTTTTGAGCTTTTAGTTAATGAGTAGGACGTTTTAGCTAGCGAAGATATTAAAAGTCTGTGTTTATTAAATTAGTATACAAACCTCATATAATTTTGTATGTTTTATGTGATTTGTCAAGCAATAATATGAGTATTAATAAATATTTTTTTCTTATTTTCTGCTAGACCTAAAAGATAGAATCTAAGGTCCCATCACTAACCAGATAAAGAAGAGTAAGGCTTTAGATAATTCTGTAATCCTGATGTTTTGGAGAATACCTTAGCTATTTGTACTGTGGCGATAGTAAAAGTGGGGTACAGTTGTGTTGAGGACTGTAAGGACATTGCATTCCGCCAGTTCTGCCAACAAAGCCTTTTTATTAACAAAGCACAGTAATTTAATCTTGCCTGGGGAGAAGAGAGGGCTCTCGCTCTGCCTCTGTCTACCTCCATGTCTCTGTCTTTGTCTATCTACATACACACACTTGATGACTCCATGACACATTGAGCTGATTCCTCAGTGCCCGACACATTCTTACCAGATTCCTCAATGCCTTCAACAGTAACAGAGCTTCTAATGTGCTGCCTTCACTGCAAAAGTTTTTAAAAGTCCAGGTACATATTTAGAGATGTATCTCATATTTAGAGATGTATCTGCCTTGAAAATGGCCCTTGTTGAACTGTATAGCATAGCCAAACAGCAAGAGTTGATCACAAGAAATATTTTATGACAGTTTGTACTATGCCACAAAATACTTTATAGAATGAGCCAGATTTCAACGTCACAAGAGTCATGGGTTCCAGATTTTGGACACATTCTGTGAGTTAGCCTGTTTGAGGCATTTTGATTAAAAAACTGTTGTTCTAGGATGTGTTGTTTTGCCCAGTTAAAGGTTGCACATTGACAAACTGAAAAGTGTTAGTAGTATATAGATGGGTAATTGTGCATTGGGGAAGGCAGCCGGGAAATGTAATAAAAGATGTTATTTAGTAACAAATATGACTTTGACTTTCAGTTGATAGGTAGTTCTGCTTCATAGGTTCTAAATATTTAACACTGGTGGATGTTTAGTTCTTATAATAGCTACCATGGCAGTAGAAAACTGCAGTGTTACATAACTATTTGGTTTGAGTGACTTGACCATGAGAGGTTTTTTTTTAACACGCCCCCCCCCCTCCCTCGGTATTAGTATTTTGGTGCTGTGATTTTGATTCATTATCTTTGTGTCCAACCTCAGAAAAGAAGTAAAAAAAGACCCAAGTGGACAGAAAATACTGGATTGTCCATTAAAAAGAAGGCTAATGGTCAAATAAGCATATTGATAATTTTAATTCAAAGGTGAAAAGATTTGAAAAAAAATAGTTTGGCAGATTCATTTAACTTAGTTTTCCAGCTTTTCCAGCACTCTTTATCTGGGGGAAGGCATAGAAAAAGCACTATTCATTTTCATAGCTAGAAATATGAATTAAAACTTGATGTGATTTCAGTTTAGATCAATTTTAGGCTTAAATTATAGCCTGTAGTTATTTTACTTAGTATGATTCCATTGTAATTTATACAGGAAGTATATAACAAGAAAGATGGATACATTTCCCAGATTCTTAAGCACTATTTCTGTTCAATATACATTATATTTTATTTTTTTACAGAAAGATGTATAATCATTATGATGTGAATTTTTAATATGAAACCAGTCATATAGTATTTCCCACTATAGTCTTTCTTTCTATATTTACAATGTGTCATGACAGTTTCCTTGAACTTTTGCATACAATATCCTATATTGATAATTAACGTAATAAAGCTTTCTCAATCTTCCCTATTATCTTGGGATGATGAGGTTGATCATTCATTGACTATTTAGGGCTCTGGACAGGAAAAACCTAATTAAAAGAAGTGGTATGCAAAATAGTTCAGATTCCAAAACTTTCAAGGAAGAAATTCTGTTTTGGGTTAAAAATGTCCTTTATTAAAATCAATACATTTATAAGCTAAGGAGAATAGGCAAGAAAATCCTGCTGATGATGTTAACTAAGTTTAGTAACAAAATGTTCAGAAACTAAATTGAAATAAGCTTGGAGAGCAAACTACTGCCAAAATCTAAAACCCAAGCTACAAGTATTTTTTATTATTTTAAAATGTCCTCTGTTTAATTCAGAAGAGATGTTCAGAAGTGTTTTGATATTGATATGACCGTACTAGAAGCATCCTGAGTCTGAAACAACTCCATTTTGAGCTTGAATCAATCTCATTTCAGTCTCAAAAGTTGGTTTGAATATGAATGTATTACTCCAGAAGCATTTTGATCAGTTTCATACACAAATCAGGTGGGGAAAACGAAAACCTCTCATTCTTCCAATTTCATTTAGAAAAGGCCCTGTAAATGTTTAAAATATTTAACTGCTTTATGCATTTCTGGAGAGGAGCATTCTGGAAATTAAGGTAGCCTAATGGTGAAAAAGCATATTGCATCTATGTCTTTATTTGTAATTAGTGATCAACAAAATTATACAGAGACAATAATACAAGGCTTTGTCATGTATACATAATCTGTTGCCTCATTTTCAAGATGGCTACTCAATATTTGACTGTCATATGGGTAATGGAATGTTTCGTATTTGTAAGATGAACGTTGACATAAAACTCTTGCGTTTCGCCAGAATATTGGCATAGGAGGGGCAAAATATAACTTTTACAGAGATCCTAGAAAGCATAGTATAATAGAATATGCGGTATTGTTTCAATTTCCCCAGATTCACATGGGCAAGTGTGCTTAGCTAATGGGGTTTTACAGTATCTACCTTGCAAAAGTGCAGAAGGCAGAACATTGTACCTAGCCTTAAAAATTCTTTTCTCAATCTGGGGAAGGTAAGTGTACTTAGATCCCAAGTTCCCAAGTAGATTTTGCAGCCCACCATTTCTTACTCTGAGATCCTTTTTAACTTTGTTTTGGTGTTGCGTATCGCTTAGTTTTTGACGAAAAATCTTTTACATCTTTTCATAACCAATGGATAACAAATAATTCTATCACAAATCTGCAAGGCATTAATGTTGATTCAGTTGCTGTTTTTGACTCTCATGGAGTCGTCATCAGCTAGAGCTAAGGATAATAAATATGTGAGGAAAAATGGCTCTTAAACTGATCATTTGCTTCCAAATTCTCATTTTGATGTGAGACATTCCAGTCGCAAGTCAACAGTGATACATTAGGTATGCGGGGTGGGGTGGGGGCCTGACAAATTTTGTTAGCATGTTTTGTTTTGTTTGTATAAATTGTTACTTGGGTGGATGCTGCAGTAATTTTGGACCTCAAAATGTTTTGAACCAGCTATGATTTATTCTCTACCCTTTAATAAAAAAAAACTTGTAATGGCCATCAATGTTTTAATACCATTTGGATAGCACATTTTAAGCATGCTTTCCAGAATTAAATATTGATCTAAAAATATTTAAAAGTATCATCCAGTGCTTTTCTACTGTCTTCAACAAAGCCTTCCTTGTAGTTTTCCTTTTTTTGGCCTATACCCAAATTTTTGGAAATCAATGACCAAACATTGTACTCCTCTTTTTAGTCCAGTGGAAACAGGAGAGATGAAGGCTGCACCATCCTTGTACAAGAAT